TGTCACAGATAATACTCCCTACAACTGTACAACTCACCCTTATGTCACAGATAATACTCCCTACAACTGTACAACAACTCACCCTTATGTCACAGATAATACTCCCTACAACTGTACAACTCACCCTTATGTCACAGATAATACTCCCTACAACTGTACAACAACTCACCCTTATGTAACAGATAATACTCCCTACAACTGTACAACTCACCCTTATGTAACAGATAATACTCCCTACAACTGTACAACTCACCTTTATGTCACAGATAATACTCCCTACAACTGTACAACTCATCCTTATGTCACAGATAATACTCCCTACAACTGTACAACAACTCACCCTTATGTAACAGATAATACTCCCTACAACTGTACAACAACTCACCTTATGTCACAGATAATACTCCCTACAACTGTACAACAACTCATCCTTATGTCACAGATAATACTCCCTACAACTGTACAACAACTCACCTTATGTCACAGATAATACTCCCTACAACTGTACAACAACTCACCCTTATGTCACAGATAATACTCCCTACAACTGTACAACTCACCCTTATGTAACAGATAATACTCCCTACAACTGTACAACAACTCACCCTTATGTAACAGATAATACTCCCTACAACTGTACAACAACTCACCCTTATGTCACAGATAATACTCCCTACAACTGTACAACTCACCCTTATGTAACAGATAATACTCCCTACAACTGTACAACAACTCACCCTTATGTAACAGATAATACTCCCTACAACTGTACAACTCACCCTTATGTCACAGATAATACTCCCTACAACTGTACAACAACTCACCCTTATATAACAGATAATACTCCCTACAACTGTACAACTCACCCTTATGTCACAGATAATACTCCCTACAACTGTATAATTCATCAATCTGTACGTCTTTTTTTTTATTATTATATTATTACTTTTGTTTTTTATTCTTTTCTATGTTTTGTTTTATTTTGTTTTGTTTTTTGAAAATTATGAAAATAAAAGGCTTAATTTTATTTTATTTTTTTTATGGTTTAGTCCTAAACCCTGAAACTGAAACGATCTAATGTTTTTTAAAGAAATTCACACTCAAATATTTGAAATTGTAAAAACAAAAGAACTGAAAGAGAAATTTGCAAAAATGTGAGAAAACTGCACAGAACACAGAACTGAAACTAAAACAAAACACAAACGAAACCAAAACTGAAAGTGAAAACATAACATTTTCTGAAAAATGACAAATACGATTGAAAAATTTTTCCAAACAAATGTCAGATGTGAAACTCGTGGCTCCGTTTCTCTCTTCAGCTCAGAGCGTCTTTTCAATCGCTGTGTCGTTTTTTTCAAACTTTTGTCCGACTGAAACAAAAGATCTGAAACACGAAGCTCCGAGTTTTCACCCAGATTTAAAATTTTCGTTTTAAAATCAGCGCCTGAAGCGACGCACGAGGTTGACACTGAAACATCGGTCGAATTTAAAGACAAAAACCCAACGAAGAACAAAAGACGAGGAACAAAGACACAAACGTTTCACCAAAATCTGAAACTGAAACGTGCAGAAACTCTCCGACAGAACGGACGCTTCAGTCGAGGAAAAAATAAAAAACGCTTCAGATGTTTGAGTTCGACAAAGTTTTGACAAAGCAGGAAAACGAGAAACGTCACAAAGAGAAACTGAAACGAGAAACGTGAGGAAAGTGGAGAAAAACACAAAGTCAGATGAAGATTTCAGGAGAATCTGAGGAGTTTTTTGTTGTGAAGATGAAATAAAGGAGTGACAGAGATGGAGGGATGAGAGGAGGAGGAGGAGAGGAGGAACAATGGAACAAAAGAGCGAAGGAGGAAGAAGAAGAAGAGGAGGAGGAGGACAGGAGCTTCAGGACAAACGTTCTCACCGCCGTGTTCTGTGATGATGTCTGTGAGCAGCATGTCTCCGTCTCCGTGGCGACAGGGACAGAGGACCTGGTGGACTCGGTGGACTCAGAGGACTCGGGACACAAAGGTTAGGATCCTGGACGCGGGCTAGGACGCTCCATGCTTCCTTCACTCCCTCCTCGAGGAGACAAAGCTGCAGGAGCACAGCCTCGCTCTTATAGCCCGCACCGGCCAATCGCAGCGCGGCAGCTCAGGGGTTGGACCAATCGGGGCGCGAGGGGGGCGGGGCCACACTGAAGGAATGAGGAACAAAGGAAACGAGGAACAAAGGAAGGAAACGACAGAGGAGACAAGGAACTAACACACACAACACACACACACAACACACACACAACAGTGTGTGTGTGTTGTGTGTGTTTGTGTGTGTTGTGTGTGTTGTGTGTGTTGTGTGTGTTGTGTGTGTGTTTGTGTGTGTGTGTGTGTTGTGTGTGTTGTGTGTGTGTTGTGTGTGTGTTGTGTGTGTTGTGTGTGTTGTTGTGTGTTGTGTGTGTTGTTGTGTGTTGTGTGTGTGTGTGTGTGTGTTGTGTGTGTTGTTGTGTGTTGTGTGTGTGTGTGTGTGTGTTGTGTGTGTTGTGTGTTTGTGTGTGTTGTGTGTGTTGTTGTGTGTTGTGTGTGTGTGTGTTGTTGTACACTTCGTTGATTTCTGGATGAACTTCTCTCTCTGTCTCTTTTTCTTTCTCTCTTTTGTTTCCTGGTTTGTTTTTCTTCTTTCATTTCTCCGATGTTTCTCTCTCTCCTTTTTTTCTTTTACCCTCCTCCTTCTCTCTCTCTTTTATTCTGTTTCTTTTTTCAGTTTTCAGTTTTGACTTTTTATAAAACTGAATCTGATTTTGGGTTCAAATAAAGTTCAACTGAAACTCAAACTCCTGCAAGACCTGGACTAAACCTGGACTAAACCTGGACTAAACCAGGACTAAACCAGGACTAAACCAGGACTAGACCTGGACTAGACCTGGTTTAGTCCTGGTTTAGTTCTGATCCTGTGCAGCTGATGTCAGGACTAAACCAGGTCTAGACTCAGACCCTGCAGGTGTTCAGTTCTGTGGAGTGAACTCTGAATGAACCAGAAACAGAAACTTTTATAGACAAAAAAAGAAAGAACAAATTTAAAGAAAAACAAGAGAAGAAGAGGAGGAGGAAGAGAAGAACCTGCATCAAGTCGCCTCATCAAACGCACAACTCCACTAACCCTGTTTCATTTGTGTGTTGTTGTGTTGTTTGTGTTAGTGTGATTCTGGTTTTTCAGATTTGAAAAATTTTATTTTTGGTCGATGAGTCAAAATGTGAAACAAAATAGAAAATTAAACCAGTTGTTTGTGTTTTGTTTTGTGTGCTTTGTGTTCTTTTGTGTGTGACTGTTTCATTTGTGTGAGTTTATTTCTAAAATGATTCCTGATTATTTTTGTATAATTTATTTTATTTTTAACAAAACTCCACAAAACTGTTGAAGAGAAACGACCTGAGTTTGTGGAAAATTCTGAATCTGCAGCAGAAACTCGATTTGGATTCAGTTTGTCGGACCCTAAATTCAGTTTTGTGATTTTTTTACGACTGAAAATTATTATTTTCTTTGAGTTAATATTTTATTAAAATGCAGGATTTCTTTATGTTTGTTTTGTTCATTGTTTCTGGTTGCAGAAAACACTCGGACGGTCGACGTCCAAAAGATTTATTTTCAAAGTAACGTTTTGGTAAAAAAAAGCTTCATCTGTCGTTTGAAGCAAGAAACATCTGACCTGAGTGTTGAGTTTGCTTGTAGTTGTGCGTTTGTAGTTTGTGTGTAGTTGTGCGTTTGTAGTTTGTGTGTAGTTGTGCGTTTGTAGTTTGTGTGTAGTTGTGCATTTGTAGTTTGTGTGTAGTTGTGCGTTTGTAGTTTGTGTGTAGTTGTGCATTTGTAGTTTGTGTGTAGTTGTGCGTTTGTAGTTTGTGTGTAGTTGTGCGTTTGTGTGTAGTTGTGCAAAAAATCAAGCCCAGAGTCCTTTTGTTTTTGTGGTTTTCTGTAAAAATCTTTTGGTTTTGTGGTTTTATTGAAAAGCGGCGCCTCCTTCAGGACAAACACAAACATCACAACAAAATCAAACTTTAAAATCTCCAGAGTCCAACAGAGAACACACAACAAGAACCAGTCACACATGTCCTCACAACACACACACAGGTCCAAACACACACACACAACAAGAACCAGTCACACATGTCCTCACAACACACACACAGGTCCAAACACACAAACACAACAAGAACCAGTCACACATGTCCTCACAACACACACACAGGTCCAAACACACACACACACAACAAGAACCAGTCACACGTGTCCTCACAACACACACACAGGTCCAAACACACACACACAACAAGAACCAGTCACACATGTCCTCACAACACACACAAACGTCCTCACAACACACACAAAACAAGAACCAGTCACATACGTCCTCACAACACACACACGCACAGGTCCAAACACACACACAACACACACACACAAGATCCAATCACACAAAACACAGGTCCAAACACACACAGGTCCTCACAACACACACAACTATCCAGTCACACAGGTCCTCACAACACACACAACTATCCAGTCACACACGTCCAAACACACACACATACACAAGATCCAGTCACACATGTCCTCACAACACACACATGTCCTCACAACACACACACAGGTCCAAACACACACACAACGATCCAGTCACACATGTCCAAACACACACAACACACACACACAGGTCCAAACACACACAACACACACAGGTCCAAACACACACAACACACACAGGTCCAAACACACACACACACACACAAAGAGAAGTGTGTGTTTCTTGTTTCTAAAAGTCGTTTCTTTTTTTCTTCAGGTCAGAAGTTTCAGCTCCAGAAACGACTCCAACTTTTCAAACAAATCTTTAAATCTTTGTAGAACATGGTGAGATGATGGAGATGATGGACCTGGTGGACCTGGTGCAGCGTTCCTCAGGTCTGTGTGGACCTGAAGCGTTCAAAGTTTCCAGAGCAGGATTCTCCCAAAGTCTCAGACAAATGTAAACAAATAAAAAACACATTCTGGAACATTCAGAGCAAAAGAAAACAGCGACAAAAGAACCAGGAAAAGTGCAAAGACGCGGCGGACATTTTGTTTGGCAAAAACCGCCGCTGCCGTGTGACCAGCGTCGGCCAATCAGACGCCGCTTCAGAGTCCGACCAGGACGAGAAACCAGAGCCACGCTTTAATCTGAGGCTTCAGCTTCCTGACGTGTGCGTCGGGTCACCGCGGCAACCGCTCAACATTCCACCATAGACACAGACGTAGACCCCCCCCTCCCCCCGCCCCCCTGGCCCGGCGTGACGTCGCCGCAGGAGCATCGACGGCGGCGAATCCAGAGCTCGACTCCAACCACGAGGATCAGAACAAACAAAGAGCCAATCAGGAGCCAGACTGCAGATGCACCGCCCCCTCGCAACGCTGTCAATCAAACTGCCGTGGCTAGCGGGTTAGCACGTTAGCGGGTTAGCACGTTAGCGGGTTAGCACGTTAGCGAGTTAGCACGTTAGCTGTGCGCAGATGCGGCGGCGGTGGTGAGTTCGGCGGTGAGTTCAGGACTGAGGTGTGAAATGTTTGAAGTTTGAGGTTCTGAGCTTCTCCAGCAAAGCAGAACCTCTCAGAACCTCTCGGACTCAGACTGAGCCGGGCTCCCGCGGTTCTGTTTGCTCCTGCGGTTCCGTTTGCTCCTGCGGTTCCGTTTGCTCCTGCGGTTCCTTTTGGTCCTTTTTCGGGTCGGCTCTGGTTTGTTGTGCTCCAGAATCCTGGGGCCCGGTTTTGGAGGGTTTCTGCGTTCCTCTTTGAGCCGCAGGAGCTTCTGGTTCTTCTTCAGCCTTTGCGCCTGTCAAGCTTAGACAGGTGCTCAGGTATAGACAGGTGCGGTCCTGGCTCTTAAGCGTCACCGGAGCCAAAACACTTTTCACCGACGATTCCCGACTCGAGATCTGAGCCGAGAGTCTGCGATTGTCTGCGTCCTTCTTCCTTTTGGACAAACCTGGAGATGACACTGGACTGGGACCGGGTCTGGACTCTGGACCAGGACCAGGACCAGGACCTGGACCTGGACCTGGACCTGGATCAGGACCTGGACCTGGATCAGGACCAGGACCAGGACCAGGTGTGGACTCTGAACGGGTTTTTTTCGCTGAGTCTGACTCAAAAGTGGTTCCTGTTTTTAGAGACGAGGTCAAACCAGCAGAAACACTCAGTCCTGGGTCAAGTCCTGGACTCAGACCTGGTCTCGGATCTGGTCTGGGTCTCGAGCTGATCTCCGTTTCTGAAAAAGTTCCATTGAGTTTCTTTCCCTCCGCTGAGACTTTCTCTGTGCAAAGACGAGCGGAGCTTCGGTCTGGAGGAAACACTGAAGGAGGAGCTTCAGCTTCAGGGGGCGGTGGTTTAGAGAAAGACTCAGGTCTGGTCTCCAGCCTGGTCTCTGGTCTGGTCTCAGGTCCCGGTCCGGTCTGAGTCTGTCTGTCGGGGGCGGGTTGGGTCTTTGGTGGCAGTGGTTTGGCGAAAGTGCCAGCGGCGGTGGCGGCTCTGGGTTCTGGGCTCCTCTTGACCGTTTTGAAGGCGCTCCCGAGTCTCGAGCAGAACTCTGCCCCCTGGGGCCGAGGGGGCGGGGTCAGCTGAGGAGGGGCGGGGCTGAACGTGGCGAGCTGCGGGGACGGGGACAGACATAGAGACGGCAGAGTCCCGCCCGGTCCGGTCCGGATGATCTCCGGTCCGGTGTCTGGTCCAGGTTTAGTCCCGGGTCTACAGAAGTCCGGGTCTTCGTCCTCGGAGGAGTCGACCTCGTGGATGGCGTCTTGTTTCTGCAGAGACTCGCGGCGCTCGGCTCGGTCCTGGCGAATCGTCGACAGTTTGTCCTTCAGTTTGGACTGAGACCGGACCGACGGCGGCTCCGGGACCGAAGGAGGTCCAGGGTCCAGACACGAGTCCTGCACCAGAGACGAGTCCTGCACCAGAGACGGGGACCGGGTTAGAACAGTCTGAAAAATATGTGCACGGTTTTCAGTCAAGTCACAGGGGCAGACTGGCACCTGCCACCAAGTCGCCCCTGGTTTAGTCCTGGTTTAGTCCTGGTTTAGTCCTGGTTTACCCCTGGTTTACCTGCAGACTGTGAGTTGGGTCCAGGCCCGGTTTCCGGGTGGGGGCGGCTGTGGGTCCAGCTGTGGGTCCGGCTGCGGGTCCGGCTGCGGGTCCGGGTGCAGGTCCGGGTGCGGGTCCGGCTGCAGGTCCGGGTGCGGGTCCGGGTGCGGTTCCGGTTCCGGGTGCAGGTCCGGGTGCGGTTCCGGTTCCGGGTGCAGGTCCGGGTGCGGTTCCGGTTCCGGGTGCAGGTCCGGGGCTCGGGGCACAGGGGGCGCTCACACACAGTTTGTCTGCAGACTGGACTCTCTTCAGCAGGGGCGAGCGAGGGGAGTCCCCACTTTTAGGGCGAGACACCTGCCGGGCGACAGGGGACACCTGCCGAGTGACAGGGGACACCTGCCGGGCGACAGGGGGCGAAGAACGAAGTGACACCGGGAACTGAGAGAGAGAGAGAGAGATACATGTTATATCATTATAAAGGTTATATATGTTATATACAGTCCCTGACAAAAGTCTTGTTGTTTATCCATTTTGTAGAAACAAAAGTTTATAACTTGACTTTAAATGAATCGATTGGTTTTAGAAATGTCTCATATGAAGCTAAAACCCTCCCAAATTATGCTCAATAAACTAAAATAAATTTGCTTCACTGAAGAAAGATTGATCATTTAATGAACACAGAAAGGTCAGATTTTGACAAGACAAAAGTCTTGTCGTCTTGTCATATGATGCATCAATCCTAGATTACAGCCTCACCTGTGATCAGTTACTGATCAATCAGTTAGTGTTTGAGTATAAAAAGAACCCAGCAGAACCAGACCTTCACATCAACTGCAACTTGACCTCTGACAACATGCCTCAGATCCACCCTGAGACCAAAGCCTTAATTATCAAGAGGCTGAAGACCAGATCCACTGCTGAGGTGGTGACACCTTCAATGTGTCTCAGCGTCAAGTACAAAGAAGAAGAAAAAGATCTGAAATGACTGGAGATGTTTTTGACAAGCCCAGGTCCAGCAGACGCCGCAAGACAACTGCTCTGGAGGAAAATCCAAGGCCCCTTTTCCACTGCAGCAGACTCCACCAGGCCTGGTCACCTCAAGTCCCTGTGTCAACCACAACAGTTTGTAGAATTCTGTCTGGAAATGGCCTCCATGGTCGAATCAGTGCACAGAAACCAGCACTAAACAAAAGACAATTAAAAAACCGTGTGGCATTTGCCAAGACCCACAGCCTGATAAAAGGATGGACTCTGGAAAAGTGGCAGAAGGTGGATTTCTCAGATGAATCCTCGGTTGAATTACATCACAGCCGCCGCAAATATTGCAGGAGACCAACTGGAGCTGCATGGATCCAAGATTCACCCAGAAAACAGTTAAGTTTGGTGGCGGAAAAATCCTGGTCTGTGGTTCCATCCAGTCTGGGGGTGTGAGACATTTGCAGGGTGGAAGGTAAATATCAATAACCTAAAATATCAAGAAGTATTAACTCCTCTTACATTCCCAACCATAAAAGGGTCAGATTTTGCAGCAGGATGGTGCTCCATCACATACTTCTATCTCTACATCAAAGTTTGTCAAGGTGAAGAAGATCAAGGTGCTGCAGGACTGACCAGTCCAGTCACCAGACATGAACATCACTGAGCAGGTCTGGGTTAGAATGAAAGAGGAAACATGAAGACAAAACCAAAGACTCTTGATGAACTCTGGGAGGCTGTAAGACGCTTTCTTTACTGTTCCTGATGACTTCATCAACAAACTGTATGAATCATTGTTGAACCACATGGATGTGTCCTTCAAGCTCATGGAGTCATACAAGATATTAAATCTGATCTCACAGCACCACTACTTCATTCACTGACGTTATGCAACATATTTTTGTATTTGAAGTAAATTATTTGTTCAATTTTCTGTAGGCGACCTCGCCCTCATCACTTTCTTTCTCCCACAGGGGGCGGGGCTGTGCTCACAGTGGGGGCGGGGCTGCGCTCACGGTGGGGGCGGGGCTGGCTGCGCTCACGGTGGGGCGGGGCTGTACTCACCGTGGCGCCGGGCGGTAGAGGGGAGGGCGAGCGCGGTGGCGTCCCGGCCGAAGGGGGTGGAGACGGCGTGCGGGCGAGCGGCGACAGAGGGATGTTCCCCGCAGATTTCCTCCGAGGAGAACGGTACTGACGCTGAAGCTTATGCCCCAAACCCGCCAGAGAGCTGGGCCTGATGTGACCCGCGGACCCGCGTGACCCGCGGCGTGACCCGCGGCGTGACCCGCGGCGTGACCCGCGGCGTGACCCGCGGCGTGACCCGCGGCTGACCCGCGTGACCGCGCGCGTGACCCGCGGCGTGACCCGCGGCGTGACCCGGCGCCGGGGAGTTCGGCACCGATGAGGTCGGGGAGGAGCTCTGAGGAGAACCACCTGAAGAAGAGAAACAGATGAGTGAGTTTATGAAAGAACAAGGACTAAACTAGGACTGAACCAGGTCTAAACCAGGACTGACCTGAGTGGGCGGAGTCAGGTGTGCACCTGTGGGCCTGGGTGGGCGGGGACAGGTGGGTGGGGAGGCGGGGCCGCTCTCTCCTGACGACAGCGAGCGGTTCAGAGACGAGAGGCTGCGGCTCGTGTGGAGCAGAGACGACTGCCTCGTGATGCGGCGAAACAGAGACGACTTCTTCTTACTGAAACGAGACCGAGACCAGGTCTGAACCAGGACTAAACCAGGTCTGAACCAGGTCTGAACCAGGACTAAACCAGGACTAAACCAGGTCTGAACCAGGACTAAACCAGGACTAAACCAGGACTGGACCAGGACTGGACCAGGACTAAACCAGGACTAAACCAGGACTAAACCAGGACTGGACCAGGACTAAACCAGGACTAAACCAGGTCTGAACCAGAACCCCTGGAGACTCACTCACGTTCTGCTGCG